CCTCCTCCTCTCCTCCTCTCTCTCCTCCTCCTCCCCCTCCCTCCTCCTCTCTCTCTCTCTCTCCCTCTCACCCTCTCTCGGGCTTGATGGTAGCCACAAGGCCACATGATGCCGCTATAATGTATTCACATGTATCACTATTGTTCTGCAGACCTTGCAGTACCTGTACCTGCAGAGGTGTTGGAACTTCCCCACGTACGGCTGTGCCTTCTTCAGCGGACAGATCATGTCACGGCCGGTCAGCGGGAGTTCTCGCCATATCGTGTCTGTCCACGTTGGGGTCAACTGTCTCGGCATTCACATTCTGAATGCCCAAACTAAGGTAGGTGCCACAGTACCTGTATCGCTATAACCGCCCTTCGGTGTAACACACCAGCTTCTGTATCTGTATAGCCGGTATAACCGCCCTTCGGCATAACACACCAGCTTCTGTATCTGTATAGCCGGTATAACCGCCCTTCGGCATAACACACCAGCTTCTGTATCTGTATAGCTGGTGTAGCCGCTCTTCGGCATAACACGCCAACTTTGCAGGCACACAGCACGGCAGCAGCTTGCCACATTACATGTACACCACAGGACTTGCTACACGTAAAGGAAGCCTAGGAAAAAAATGTTGTGTTTCCTGTTTCCTGACGTACATGTACCCTAGAAAAAACTGCAGACCCTAGCCTTTTTTTGTGTGTGGACCCCTGCAAGGAACATAAATTTTTAAAGCTGATTGACTTTTTCTAGTTTAATGATCTGACACCTGAGTGATGAAACGTTGTACAATCGTTTTTCCAACATTGACATTGAAAATAAAAGTGTCCTCATGCAAGTTTTACTTTGTTAAACTGTATTGCTTTTTTATTTATGAAGATTTACCACATTTATGGAAGGATTGACAGAACAGGTGACTATCACTTCTTCAAGATTGTATAAGTTGGATCACTAGAGACTGCCAAAGTCCTAACGGGCCTACCAAGCCTAATTTTTTTCAGGACTGAAACAGGAAACACAACCTTTTTTTTCCTAGGCCTTACTAATATGCGGTGACAATGCTGATGGTGGCGAAATGAAGGATGAATGCACATTTCCGATTAAACAAAGAATGTTTTTCTCCTCTTACACAGCAACTTCTGTATTCGTCACGTTTCTCTAACCTCCAATGGGAGTACTCGATGGAGGGAGCGTATTTCCAGCTTCGTACGAGAGACAACCAGAGTATACGGGTTCACACCAAACAGGTCTGTACTCACAAGGGAAGGATACATATAGAATACAACACGGGGTATTACATATCGCCCGGGGTATCGGCCCGACCGCGGGTCGGAGGGCGATCCGACTCGCAGGAGGGCCGGGACCAAGGGCGATGTGGAATACACCGTGTTGTATTCTATTTAAGTCATACCCACCCAAGAAAACAAGCCTTTCAATGCAAGATGAGCAAAAAGTTGGTGCCCCTAAACCCTCAAATGCAACAACATCAGTTCCAACGTCCGGATTCTGTATTCGAATTTTCAAAAGCGGCGCACGCGGTTAGGACGAAACGCGTTCGAATCTTTCTATGGAAACCATGGAGCCCGGGCCTTACCGTAAAGTATGGCCCGGTCCGGAACCCATTATCGAACGTTATCGCGGCCCGGGTATGATATAAATCAATTCATGCTATGTCCGTAGCCAGGATGTTGAATGGGGGGTTCTTGCGCAATATTTGGTTCACCAATATATTTTGTCAAAGATAAGTGAATATATAGTACACAAGTGTATATTAACCATTTTATGAATGGAAATTTACTTGAATTTTTTTTCTTCCAGGCTGCCCTGATCTGTAATTTGATGACAAAGCTACACTCCAGAGGGTGAAATCTGAACACACTTTCAGCAGAACTCAACTTAAATCAGCAGTCCCACTTTTATTTCTATAGACGGTGTTCCAAGGTTGACAACCTTTGATGGAATCTGTTGATCGCTACAAGATCGCAGACATTCGAAATCAAGTCGAAGGAATGGACCGTTCCAGATCGAACGCATCGAATCCACTGCACTGTTCTATTTCGAACACCTCCGTCAAACTCAGCGCGGGAAATCTAAAATCAGCAAACTGAGTTGATGTCTGCTTGATAAAGACTCCTTGTTTTACACGTGAAACTGAATTTGTGACATTGCATGCACTTTCAAGTTGATTAAGGACGTTCTGTTACACATGTATCGGCTGTTAGTCAGCAACCGGGCACTCTTGTCCACCTACCGTGTGATGTTATGCGGCCAATCCCGCGTCTGTATAGAGTGAAAACATTTTGCTCTCACTGAAACTACCTCTGTCCCCTCCTGAAATAATTCTACTCTGCGGATGTACCGTTCAACAAATATAGCGTAACCAACTTTTTGTCCCCTGGGAGAGTTTTTTGCTGCCGAAAAATCGACTGTAAAGTTGGGCTGCAAATCCAACTTTCTGGCGGCGGCAGCCGGTACGGGCCTTCCCGCGCTGATTTTGACGGAGGTGTTCGAGTTGCTAGGGCGTTGCTAAGGGGGCGTGGCTTATGGAACGATCCATTGAGGCTCTTAAATGCCATTTAACTGTCAACTGGTTTGAAAACCTCCATGCAGTTAAAGTGAGTGTAGTTCTGTTTTTAAATGGGCAAGTTTAGGCCTCTTCTGGGGTCTATTCACCTGGCTAGCTTTGATTAATAAGGAACAATACAATTTTTTGGCAATGCCTCTGGAGGGGAGGCATTTTCTTTCGTGTTATTTGGTGGTACATGTACATGTATGTATGTACCAGTAATAGTGGTTGTGTACCTAAACCCACATTTAGGTTCAGGTCTGGATTCAAGTCCAGAGATTTAGGTTCAGTTCCAGAGTTGTAAGTTTGGACCCTAACCCATGGCATATACAAAATTGCATGTTGGCAACCTTGCAATGTTGTCTGGACAAAACTGTGGCCACATAACATGGAGGCCGACACTTGACAATGCCTGATGGCAATATTTTCTTCATTTTGCAGCACAGATTTTGCAATACACATATTGATTTTAGGTGGTTTGGAACAAAAAGGGGTATGTGACATGTTTTTTTAAAATGTTTTTTTTTGTCTGGAATCAGTTCTTGACTTTTAGGTTTTTTTGGACTTGAACCTAAACATTTTTACAAGTCCAGTGAACTGGTACACAGCACTAACCAATAATGTTACAAAATGGAAGAATGTAACAGATTCTCAAAGAAGATATAATTCTTAACTGTCAGTGTTTCTTACACTTTTGGTACTATTAATATTTTGCACAGTTTTGTCCTAGCATTTTTTTGTTATGAAACATAGGTGTACATTGCATAACTTATTTTTTAGTGATCAGTTCTCTAGGAGCTGCAAGGAAAAGGAAATAATAGAAAACATGTGAATGAAAGTTTATACTTTTATTCATAAATGTACAAAACCGTATAAGTATATACTGCCACACTGCCACAATGAGTAATTTAAATACACTAACTTTTGATATTTTTAATATCTGAAGCTGTGTTTGCATATGTATATATGCACATTGATATGCTTGAATATTGCATCATTACTTGCAATGTTGGTGATTTAAAAAAAAGTCTTCAGAACCAAATGCACAAATCTCTAGTATACTAGAGTATATAGTATACTACAATTTATAGTATACTATACTATAAATTGTATTATATTAGAGTACAGTATATGGTATGTATACTACAATATATAGTATGCTATATACTATACTATTTATACTTTATATACCTTATAATATGGACAATTGTAAATATTGTGTAAAATATCCACCATTTTGTTCAACTTAAATAACATTAAGTCCATCAATATGTACATCTGTATCTTTCACAATTCCGATTATAATATGGATTTTCACCTTAATATAATGGTAACAACGTATTAAATAAATAAATTGCAGTGCTGTGCAATAGATAAGCACATACATGCGTTACATCTATCCTGGTGTGTAAAGTTAAGTTAAGGCCACGCCAATTCAATTTGTTGGTACTCGGATTCGCCTCTTCATTTTTTCTGTTAAAAAAAAAAGATTCTGGTTTTGAATCAACACAAAAATGCTCAATATTTTGCCCCCAACAGTTGAGGAAAGTCCTTTTTCTTCCTAGTTGTTACAGTTTTTCCTTCTATCAATGCAGTGGTTTGATTAAAAGTTCAAAATTTATTGTTTAAATATTAACCCAGTCTTTTGTGTTGACTTCATGGCTCCTATCGTAGCATTTTGGGCTATAATAGGATGCCTAGACCTGTTTTTATTTTTTTTCGCCCTGTCGCTTCATATTTTTTCTTAAAAAATCCGAGAACCAAGAAATTAAATTGGTGTGGCCTAACAAAGTTCTTCTCAAGTAGTTTCGGTAGTACAACTCTCTTCCTCATGGCAATGCTTGCTGATGCTACTACCTACCGCTAGGTGGCGCTTTGTACAGTGAGAAGAATGCAGTCCCAAACGTGACTAAACTTGTATCCCCCCTCATCGTGGTTTATGACTGTTAACCATTGAATTACAAACCCTATGAACCTATTGGTGAGTGCAATAGTCTATGAGGTGGTCGCGTTGGAGTTTATCCTCTTTCCCAATAGGAAAGAAGTATGAAATAAATACAAAGCTTTAATTAACTTCCAACACTTAGATTACAGAACTGGGACTTACATTGTTGAATGGAATGGACCCGTCTATTCTTGGAACGTGACGTCAGAGACACGTGACCGTAGTAGCGGGTCATACAGCCAGATAACTTGTGTCGCCCCCCGTCTCTGTTTAGGGTAGCTCTAAAGTACTTATGTGTTTCTTTATAGTTTGTACCTATACACTTCCACGCAGTTGGTGCGGTAGTTCGCCACCAGTACGAAACGATTCTGGGACACGCACATGTCGTAGGGGCTACCCAAGTGCCGCCTAGCGATCGTCTTCTGGTATGACAGCGTAAGCCCATCCTCGCACGTATCGTACTTGAATATCTGAATCCTGCTGTCATAGTGGTTGGCCACAATGATGGTCTGATCCTGCTTGTCGATGGCGATCCCCGATGGTCCCTCGAACTCCCCCTCCTCAGGTCCTTGCTGCCCGAAACTGAACACTTCTTCCCCGGCGAAGTTGAACGCCACAACCTCGTTGTCTTCGATGTCGGTCACTAAGATGAGGCGACGTTTCTGATCCACCACCACGTACCTCGGCGCTTCTAACTTATCCTCTCCTACTTGCTTCACGATGCGTAACTTCCCACCATCCACCGTCACAAGGAGGACACTGTTACTGTGGCTGTCGACGACAACCAATACTTGGCCAGGTTCCTTGTTCAGGAGCGGTATCTGCTTCTTGAACTCTTCGGAAATGACTTTAAGTCCGCAGGGGTTGAATCTGGTCTTGCCGTTCTCCAGAGGATACTTGTTGACCAGTTCGCCCGTTTTGGTGAACTTCATTACACATTCGTCTGACCAAGAGGTGATGAAGTAGTTCCCATCGTCGTCTGCGTCCAGCCCCATGGAGATCTTAGAATTGGTGCGGAAAGCTTTGAGAAAGTTGCCTTGGTCGTCGAAAACTTGGACCCGGCTGTTGCCTTGGTCTACGATCGCTATGTGGCCGCTTGGCCGGACTGCCATGCCGGTGGGCCCGTCGAATTCTCCATTCTGTCGCCCGAACCTGCCAAATGTTAGGTTCGGAGTGTCACGTAGCCCCACCATCTTTTTCGACACCCCGCCTGCATTGCCGACGAAATTCTCCAACACCTCGAGTGGCGGAGACTTCGTAAACTTCACAATGCCAGAAACAGGAGGATACGTTTTCTCCAACATGGGACGAAAATTATTCATGATCTTCTCCTTAACTTCTTTTAACTCTTGGTCTGAGGCGTTTCGTTCGGGGTTTAAGGTGTCGTCGCACAGGTTAGCCGCGTTCTTCAAGACAGCCTTTTGTATGGTCATAGCCGCGTTCTGGGATCTTAGCTCTGTCTTTCTTTCCCTGCAAGACTTCTCGATCTCTTCAAGAACCTGTTTGGGAAACGAGTGTACTTACTGTTATGTTTCATAATTATGTTGATTACTTACCCTTATTATCATGTTTACCGAAGGAAAACATATTGTTTTTACTCAGTTTCTTCCTCTTCTGTTCCAAACACTAACCTCTGACCCGGCCAATGACATGATTTGTTAACGTCTGTCACCATGGTGACACATGGTGTTGGGTTACACAATGTTGCAATTTCATGGTCTGCCCTACTCCTGTCAGCATATACTCGTAGTACATATATGTGGATGTGTTTGAGTAAAAATTAACAAAGCAGACCATGTCCGAAGGTAAACATTATGCACTTGCTTTGAAAATGTTACTTCTCTAGTTATTGTTATTGTCATTATTATCATTATTATGCTTTTAATTGTTTTGGAGGAGGACAAGAATAAGCCCTAAGGCTTCTTCCTCCTCCAGCTCATCCATTCTGTTTAGATTAATTATTCTATATTCTGTTTCTTCCGATTATTATATTTACTTTCTGTATTGTTTAAAGTTAAAACTTTTGATCCAACACAGAAATTCTCTCACCTAGAGCTTTCGACCAGTCACTCTGGTCTTCCTCAGTAGACTGACCCAGGTAAGCTTGTCATGTGGCTTTTACACTGGGTCAGTCTACTGAGGAAGACCAGAGTGACTGGTCGAAAGCTCTAGGTGAGAGAATTTTTGTGTCGGATCAAAAGTTTTAACTTTAAACATGTAATTACCAACACAGATGAACTTTCATGATAGTACTTTCTGTATTGCTTTGTATTTTATAAGCATGTGCAAATAAAAATAAACAAAAAAGAAACAAACCTCCTTTTCCCTGTCGTCTACTATTTGTCTCAGGCTCTTGAAGTATCTGGTCGCCTCTTCGGTTGCAGTTTCTCCTGACGGGTCGATCTTCTCGATTTCTTCTTTGACCCTCTTTAGTCCCGTCTCTACGTCCACGATCAGAAGGTCGACTTTTTGCTCCACGATCTCCAGGCCTTTTCTGTGGTCCGGAGGCTGGATTTCATCTTCTGGCTTCTTCAGTTTGACCATGTTCATGAATCGTTTCATGACTGTAGTTCTTTGTTTAGAGTTTTGGTCCAACACAAAAAATTCTCTCACCAAGAGTTTTCGACAAGTCACTCCAGGTCTTCCTCAGTAGACTGACCCAGTGAGGCTTGTCACGTGGCTTCTTTATTTGAAGTGTGCCGTCAACACTGGCTTTTAGAGACCTTTCTGTTCCCCCGATGTACGTTTCCTGGCAGGGCCCCCTGTTGTTTTTGCCCTGGCAGGGGATGTGGTAGATGACACCACACTTCTCCTCTTTGGGGGTTTTGTCCTTGGGTGCAACCAGACTGTAGTTATTGTTGACAAACCGTGTTTTGTACCGTAAGTTCGCAAGTTTGCACTTCTAATAATGCCAATGTTGGCCCCTACGGTACTGTATCAGTGGTATTTGATGCGTTGTTTGTAATCATTCAATATATAGTCAATATTAGCATGAAAGTTGAGTTGGAAAACAGTTTAATTTTCTTCATATAGTCAATATCATTCAATATACTAGTATCACCACAACCGATCTTAGCGTGTTGTTAAAAATTCTTCCCTTGAAAACTGTTGTTTAGCCCTCTATTGCTTCTTTGGGCTCTCTTGTAGAGGATTTTTATGCTACGGTTTCTACTAACTGTTGCATTAAGCCACCCTTAGTTACTAGTAGTGCTTTCACAGCTGTGTGGCCCTAGGGCTATACAATCAGTTATGGGCGCCGCCCTATACAACATATGACGTAGAAAGGACTACTCACTGTGATTTCTACAGTTATATAATCTCTGTTTCACGTTGTGGCCACACCCGAATGTCTGTCCCCTTATGTAAGCCAGTGCTTCTTTTTCGGGGTATTGTTTCTTGGCGCTGCTGTTCCCCAGTTGCACACAGGACCAGCTGTGCTGTCGTTAATGCTGTTCCCCAGTTGCACACAGGACCAGTTGTGCTGTCGTTAATGCTGGTCCCCAGTTGTACAAAGAACCAGTTGTGCTGTCGTTAATGCTGTTCCCCACTGTACACAGAACCAGCCGTGCTGTCGTTAATGTTGGCGTTTCTTCTGTGAAGGTCTTTCTTCGTTATTCCACAGAAATTCCACAGAAAACTCTCCTGGTCTACGTATCGGTGCCTCCGGCTGTTGTGGTGTATATTATATAAATGGCCGCTCAAGGATTCACACGGTCATTCTGCCATTAAAATCACCGCAGATTTTCACGGTAATAGAAAGAAGCCAAAGATATACGTACGTAAGAAGTGAAGTGACAGCTATAGTAGCAGATCATCGAATATTTCGCTTGACGTTTCGGCCGATATCCGATTGTTAATACGTCGTTTATAATATGTCTACGTTTGAAGCCGATGTTTCTAGAACAGATCGGCACTTCTGAGGGAAAACCAGTTAGTCAACTTTTCGCTAACTTATGCTGTGACCCTTAAATGCCCCTTCACGTGATGAATCACAAAGGTGTGTCTTTGAAATAACCAATGGTCAAGTTTTGTTTATCTGCATACAAATAAGAGTTATGCAACAGTAAAACGTTTGTTACAACGGTTGCCTGAGTGTTTATTAATTGTCATTTTACAAAAAAAAAAAAAAGTATTCAAAATGTCAGCTTTGAAACTGCAAAATTAGTTGAGAAAGTTCTTTCATCAAACGATACTAGGCGATTACACAAAGAAGGGGGAGGGCAAAAACGCTTTATTATAAAACGTCACCCCCCCCCCCCCTCCTAAGGATGTAATGGAATAGTCCTGCTTTAGGACGTCATCATGAAGGAACCACACCTGTTCCGGACGATACCATTTCCGGTTTGGACGCCTGTCTATAGTCCCGCCCACCAGGATAGTTTGATTGACACCCCACTTTTATTTCAAAACTTTAACCCCCCCTCCTAAGGATGTAATGGAATAATCCTGCTTGACGTCATCATCGAAAAACCACACCTGTTCCGGACGATACCATTTCCGGTTTGGACGCCTGACTATGGCTCCGCCCACCAGGGCAGTTTGATTGGCACTGACGTCCATCGCCCCGCCCACCAGGGCAATTGATTGACAGTGACCCCAATCCCTCAGCAGGAGCGCTCCAAAATAGCGACGTGCATTTTTGTCTTCGGGTCTAATTTCACCACAACACGTAGACATACAGGACGGGTGGACACTAGGGGAGCGAGCGAGGAGGCTACCAAAAAACATCAAGCTTTCTCAAGGTAAAATAGTGTTTGCTTATGATTTATTGGTTTGCAAAATATTGCTGTTTAAAGTTACTACAAAGATGTGTTTTGCGAAGGGGAGGTCAATAGAAAGCAATGATAGTGTGCTGTTGATGTTGCTCCAAGCAGATGCATGGTTTTTTTCACCTCACGTCCTTTGTGACATTTTGTATTCATGGTTTGCAAAAGAGAAGTCAAACCTTTCAGACATAATTTTAGACATAGCTATAGTTTTAAACAATTATCTTTTATTATAAAATTTTGTATTATGTTTCAATGTTCATTTATCTTTGTTATTTTCAATTAGCCTCCGGGCAGGAATTTGTAATAATACTTATTTGTATTAGAGTTTTTTTCTGGAGGGATAAATAGTGAAAACTCGTATCACCAAGAAGACACAAAATGTTAAAAACGATGTCAAAGAAAGCTGCTAGGACCGTATCTGCTTGGAGATCAAAGTTGTTATTGTTATGTTTGTAATGCTAGCTATAGCATGCATATATATTAAACGCGGTCAGGGTCAAGCTTGGCAATATATTATATCAAAATTGCTGATATGGATATCGTTGCCAAAATTCCGAAGATAGTTAAATAGCTTAAAGGCATCCAATACAATTTCAGGGCAGCAAAACTGGAAATATTCTGAATAAGGCAATCTGTATAATATTGACACATACTATCCCACATTTGAATCAGTATTTCATACTTTAAGCATTTAAATCTGCGGAAGCAAGCCCCAAGATGAGTCCCTTTTTCTGGGTGGTACCCTAAAAATCAGCCCAGGGCCCTTCCAGTAACGATTTTTCGTCAAAATTTGGGGCATTTTTGCTCCATGAATGTCGATATACACTGGGACAGTGTTGTTTCAACTTGGTATGTAGATAAGTGACTAGCGAATTGCGTTTTCGGCAATTAATTACAAACGGCCTTCTTCTTTTGGCAACTTTTGTTTATTTCGTGTATGTTTTATTTTTCTTCTTCCCTTTTACTTATAAGTATTAGTTAAAGCAGTATTTCGGCTATAAGATGTATTATTATACATTCACGATCATAGATCCTTAACTCATTAAAGTCTCTACGTCGCATCCAATATATCATAGGCCATGTTGATTTGATTATATGGATGACATCGTCTGGGACTGCCCTAAAACTGACGCGAGCGTGCGAAAAAAAAGTTTGGCAAAAAAAAGTTGCCTTCATTATGAAATCTATGTGGTCATGAAGGTTGAACAAATAACTAAACACACAGAGTGATATTTAGTACGAGGGGTGTTCAAAAAGTTCTCGGCCTCACCTAGAAAATAAAGGTCAAACTCCTATTCTTTGGTATAGCTGTATACTATGACGTCTTACATCACTGCACACAAAAATTCAAATTTTTGTATTCATTAATGAGCACGTGACGCCCCGTGAAAATGAGGTGGGTGAGGGCAAATCACAAAATGGCCGCAAAAGAAGCGTGTGCTGTGATCAAGTGTATCGATAAAAAAGAATGTCTCCTAAGGACATCCATGAAGACATGGTCAAGACACTTGGTGATGACTCCCCTTCTTATTTAAATATAGAGAACGGGGTTACTAGCTACAATCGCGGCAAGGAGAGCACAAAAGATGAACATAGGTCAGGATGCCACAAATCAGCACCACGGACAATCCAGTTGAGGCCATCCATCACATGGTAGTGAATGACAGATGTGAGACTGTCCAACATGTAGCAGGTTCTTTGGCCTGTGTTATGACTCAGTTCACAATATTTTGTCAAACATCCTGGGGATGAACAAACTGTCTGCATGGTGGGTGCCTGGAATGTTTTTTGAACATCAGAACTTAAACAGGCTTGACATTTCAAGGAACGAATTCAGTCCAATTCATGCAGTTTCCTCAAAACATTTGTCACTCAAGATGAGCTGGGCTCACCACTTTCACCCCGAATCAAAACAACAGAGCAAACAATTGATGAAGAATTTTTCCCGCCCCCCAAAGAAGTTTTAGCGAGTTTCGTCCGTTGACAGGGTTTTTGCCTCTGTTTTCTGGGACAGTAAGGAAGTAATCATGATTGACTACATGCGAAGGGGTTAAAGCATCAATGGGGAGTACTATAAAACAGAATTACGACATTTTAGGGAAACGATCAAAGAAGAAAAGGAGAGGAAAGCTCCGAGCTGGCGTGATGAAAATGCACCTGTCCACACAACACAGGGGTCAGCGACAGCAGCAAACGAATTTGGGTTTGCAGTCTAACCCCACCCTTCCAATTCACCTGACCTAGCACCCTCGGACTTCTACCTGTTTCCTAAACTCAAGTTCCACTTACGTGGTCAACGTTTTGATGGTAATGATGACGTCATCTATGCGGTATAGGCCTATCTGGGGGGTCCAGATGCAACCTTCATCCACAAGGGGAAAATAAAGCTGGAACATCACTGGACCAAGTGCATTGCAGTTAGAGAGGACTATATTATAAAATAGTTTAAGAAAAATTTTACTGCCCTGACGTTTTCTAGGTGAGGCCGAGAACTTTTTGAACACCCCTCGTAGCAAGGTGAAAAATAGACTTCATTTTCATTCCTTCACATTTTCTTCTTGTCCTTTGAAATGGATTTTGGCATTCTGCGATGTAAGTATCGCTTTCCAATTTTCTTTTTCAATTTAGGCCACAGCAAGTAAATTTGATGGATGACATCCTCCACAGACTGCAAATCTAACAGTTGGAACATCACATATACGCAGCCAGCATCACATATCACTGCATCAAAGTAAGAAACAAAACATTAAATCAGAGCCTTTTCTTGTCTCATCTCTTCATAGTTATCTGCCATCCACCTTCCAGCATGACAACAGACGTCTTTGTCCATTTTCGGCATGTTGACCACTGTCAGAGGGCAACACAATTTCTTGTTTTTTTTCTCCAAAATCAGGCGAAAATTAATGCGCGCGCTGATGTCATCCATAAAAAATTACTTGCTGTGGCCTTACGGCATAAATATGTATTTGCTCATTTTGCAGCTACTAATCTACGTGGTCATAAAGATTGAACACATGACTAAACACACAGAATGGCGAATAAAAATAGACTCTTCATTTTCATTTCTTCATATTTTCTTCTTTTCCTGAATTGATTTCGACATTATTCTATGACATTAGTATCGCTGTCCAATACTTTTTTTTGCAACATACGACATATATTTGCTCATTCTGTACGATTTACAGTATGGTCGAAAACTGTCTTTTTTTCGGAAACGGACGAAACTTCTTTCGCGCGTGGATGTCATCCATATAATTACATCAACATGGCCTTAGTCAGATAAATGAAGTCATTCCAAATATCCCTGCTCATGTGCCCTGACCCTAAGATAAGACATAACTGAGATTACAGGCGTGACTTCTAATCTTCTTCAATCTTCCGTCCATCAACAGCTTTCTTAATCTGGACAGTTGTGGATTATAGGATTTGATATGATCCTGTAAACCATCAGTAGTTATCTTAAGGCCACTGCAAGTAAATTTTATGGATGACATCCTCTGCAGACTCCAAATCTAATGCGAGCGGGCGAAAAAAAGGCGCGCCGAAAAAAAACAAGATTCCTACATTTTTAATTTTTTACTCCATCATTGTACAAATGGTTTTGATTCAGTGAGAACATCACATCTACACAGCCAGCATCACACATCACTGCATCAAAGTAAGAAACAAAACATTAAATCAGAGCCTTTTCTTGTCTCCTTTCTTCATAGTTATCTGCCATCCACCTTCCGGCGTGGCAACAGACATCTTTGCCCATTTTCGGCATGTTGACCACTGTCAGAAGGCAACATTTTTTTTCCAAAATCAGGCAAAAATTAATGCGCGCGCTGATGTCATCCATACGAATTACTTGCTGTGGCCTAATACAGATACTTACCCTTACCGGGTCACTAATTCAAACCAGGACAGAATCTGACCAAAGATATCACAGATGAACATAGTTTCACTTATAATTAAGTCTTAGGACCATTTAGCAATCTAAAGAAATTGCAAGCTAGAAAGGTAACATTTGCAAAGCAAATGCATAATGTTTACCTGCTCTGTTAATTCTTACTAAAACACGTTTATATATATGGTGACAGGAGACTAAATCCCTCCTGCTATAAAAATTGCAACATGATGTAACCCAACACTAGTTACCATGGTGACAGACGTCTGGTTCAGGTCATCCGTCTTTGGCCTTATTTGTTTGGAGAATAAGAAGAAACAGGGCAAAAACAATACGTTTTCCTTCAGTAAACTGGCCAAGAAATGTGTGTTACGTCATATCCGTCGCCATGTTGAATTATCCAAGATGGCGGTCTGTTATTCAGAACGCACAGACAATGACTTTGAGACAACAATTATCCATAATATAGCTAGGTAAAACGACGTGTTATGTTAGAGAAATATCTAGCATCTAATCTAAAATTTCTCTGACATATAAATGATTTCACGCACGTCTTTAGTGTCCACCATCTTGGTGGGTTAAGATACGTTGTGGTCACGTGAGTGCAAGCCGCTATCCCATTGGATGTCGGTACAGTTGTGCTGGCAGCCAACCACTGTTACTCTTGCACTGATAGTCAGTTTAGACGTTATAATGCTTTTATAAATAAGTTATCCTCATCTTTTACATATCGCTGAAGCAGGGTTCAAAGCATTGCTGGTTGATGGACACCCAGCTTAATCAAGCCTGAATGTTCCAAGTTATCAAACACAAATTCTTGCTGTCTCTAATGGTTATACATGTACAAAGACTTGTAAAAACATTTTCTGATTAGAGTATCTCCAAAATACATGGGGGGCTAATCAACCCGATGTCTCTCAAGGTTCCGTCACATGTTGCTTTGTTTTCTTAAGATTACTGTGAAACGCTTTTGCAATTAAGTGGTTTTAATAACAAAGAAGCATCATTAATTCGAAATATTTTCAACAAAAATTTTGATATCATTCGGACAAGTTTAGAAAAGGTATAACACTAAGATCCACAATATACACATTTGTACAATGATGAACAGCTAAAATATAGACGCATCCAATCCACAAAAGTACTCCTCTGGAATTTCTGCTATCGCTTACATAATCACGTTCTCAAAGCCATCTATAGCTCTATAGTTCTAATAATCCTGATACTTTGGACACAAGATCTCTACTTAGGCCACAGCAAGTAACTTTTATGGATGACATCAGCGCGCGCATTCATTTTCGCCAGATTTTGAAAAAAAAATTGTTGCCCTCTGACAGTGGTCAACATGCCGAAATAGGCCAAGATGTCTGTTGCCATGCCGGAAGGTGGATGGCAGATAACTATAAAGAGAGGAGACAAGAAAAGGCTCTGATTTAATGTTTTGTTTCTTACTTTGATGCAATGATATGTGATACTGGCTGTGTATACATGTATGTGATGCTCCCACTGAATCAAAACCATTTGTACAAGAATTGAGTCAAAATTTTAAATTGTAGGAACCTTGTTTTTATCGGCCCGCCTTGCTTTTTTTTTTCGCCCGCTCGCATTAGATTTGGAGTCTGCGGAGGATGTCATCCATAAAATTTACTTGCTGTGGCCTTAATAAGTTTCTAATGGCCTCCATGGATGATACAGATCACCCAGGGCAAGATGTGAGGCCCTGAAGACCATATCGACATGTGGTCCGTATTTAGAGCCTAAAAGTACCGGGCTATTCTAAATCCGTCCCCATATTTGTCACATTCTAGATCACACAGACGGGTCCGTCTGTGTACGTGTTATGGGTCTGACTAGACAGTTTAGTTTATACATTGACTAAACGTGTGTACCAAAATAAATTATATTTGCATGTAATTACGTTTACCGAAGAAAATGGTAAACGTATTGTTTTTGCTCAATTTCCTCTTCCTCCTCCTCCTCTTCTTTTTCTCCTAACATATAAAAAAACAGCAATATCTCCATCACTACCGGCTGGGAACACCTGAAATTTGGTAAGGTGGTAGAACGGTACATACATGTATAGGACATTGAACCTTGGTCATTTTGGCCAACATAGATGTCAGAAAATGATTTTATTGGAAAAAAATGGGTGAAAAAAGTTGCATTTTAAGCCCCAAATGGAACTTTAGAACCCGTTTAGAACCCGTTTAAAATTTTAGAACCCCCGGGTGAATGACCGCGCGGCCTTTGGAACACGCCATTCAGGCGAGAGGGATGGTGAGAATAAAATAGTATATGTAAGAAATGTATATTTTTTTCAATATGTATGTATAGCTTTGCAGTGTATGGAAATATTATGTATGGATTTATAGTATATGTTACAGGTTTGTTTTATGTATTATGCATGTTTAGTTTTGTAGTACTTTATATAAGCCATGTATAGTCTCCATTTTTTGCAATTAGAGTTTAAAATGTATAAAATCTCATCATAATTATTATCTACATACCTGCAATAAGATTGTCAAATAAATGTTAAGTGCCATATTTAAGTAAAATGCTGTCCAAATTCAGTGTACTTGTAATTTTCAAAAGGGTAACAAGATTGTAAGACAACTGTAAGGTTTCAAAAATTGTTTAATTGAAGCTGTCAAGATAAATTCAATGTGTACATGACAACATCTTTCCTCTTAATTGCAAACATGATGAGAGTGTTATGAAGTAAGTTTAAACTTTTGTTGGAAATTACAGTTTAAACTTACTTCATAATGACTTCTACTAAACACAGATGAACTTTCAAGATACGATGAGAGTGTGTGCTGAGTGAATCATTTTTAACTTCATCCCTGGCCTTACAAGGGCAAAAATATTATTCAAATCCCCCAGTTAATGTTACTCTATAAAAGTTAGCATTATAAGCAGTATGCTTCCACCCACCCTTAACCAAAAAAATATAAATGGTAGGCGACTCCATCCTGAGGTAAACATCTTGCATTTGCTTGCAAATGTGACCTTTCTAGTTTAAAGTAATATGTTCATTTGATTGTTCTTCTCTCTGATTATATGCAAATAAACAAACAAACAAGCAAGGGTAGGGTAAGGTAGGGTAGGGTAGGGTAGGGTAGGGTAGGGTAGGGTAGGGTAGGGTAGGGTAGGGTAGGTGTAGGGTAACTCTTTTTACACAACCAAGTCTGTCTTTTATTCAGCCGACGTTTCGGTGACCGTCTGTCACCTTCCTCAGGGCAGTTCTGACTGGTTCACATTGCACTGCAGCACAGGTGTCGCTGCTACAGATGCATTTCCAAACGTGGAATACACAACTCTATATTATACGTCGATCATGTAACACTAGACACGAAACGTAAACTGTAAATTCTCTCCGTGTGGAAACTGAAACGTGACTACAATAGTACAGTTTACTACAGTCCTGCTTCATTAGGCCATGTTGATTTGATTATATGGATGACATCCGCGCACCCGTTTCCAAAAAAAAAAGGTTTCAACCATACTGTAAATCGTACAAAACGGTTGCAAAATGAGCAAGAGTATACAGTAAGTTAAAAACTAAAAACTATAAACTATACATACAATTAAAAACTATACATAGGATGCCAAAATCAAACGAAATTGTAAAGAAATGAATTCGAAGAGTAGTTTATTCGCCAAACCATATTCTGTGCCGTTTGTTCAACCCTCATGACCACGTAGATTTCATAATAAAAACAACTTTTTTTTTTTGAAAACTTTTTTTTATTCGCCCGCTCGCATCAGTTTTGGGGTTCCAGGAGGATGTCATCCATATAATCAAATCAACATGGCCTTACATTCCATTCAGCATTTCTCCTTTGCAAATTTTATGCTAGTTACTACTATTTTCAACTCAAAACAAGGCTCATGTAAACCACTCACATGTTTTGAGTTACATGCAACCCTAAAAGGCAAATGTTAAGTCTGTGAAAAAATTTTAGAAGTTTTAATTTTAAGTCTAATAGTTTAGTCTTAAGTTTTACTAGATAGTTTGACTGCGGATATTCGGAGAGCTGTACAGTAGTGGTGAGAGTCCCGCCTGTCGCCTACGGACATCCTGATAAGAAAAAAAAATAAGTAAATAATAAGTAGGAACTAGAAAAGTAACATTTGCAAAGCAAATGCATAATGTTTACCTTCGGATATAGTCTGCTCTGTTAATTCTTACTCAAACACATTCACATACACGTATATGGTGACAGGAGTCTAAATGCCTACTATGAAATTGCAACACTATGTAACCCAACACAAGTTACTATGGTGACAGACGTCAACAAAAGAGGCCATTGGCCAGGTCAGAGGTCAGTGTTTGGAACAGAAGAAGAAGAGGAAGAAGAAATGGAGCAAAAACAATATGTTTTCCTTCGGTAAACATAATTAGCAGAGATGACATATAGAATGATTTAGTAAAGACAAGGTTTGTGCCAGGAGGGAGCAATGATGGTCTGCCGACTTATTCTGAAGAATAGTTCAGCTGTGCCATGTTTACTAGATGGAAGGGTTTCAGGAAATAGTAAGGATACAATAAGTACCTGGAGCAGTCTGGCATATGAAGGAAAACAGCCGGTCGCAGGAATAGACGGCCCACTTGTCTTTCAAATGAAGCAGTACGGCGTAAACGACGCAATCTCGGTTACCCCACTGGTTGTCCGGTTCTCCCCGACCCCAGGAGTTGTACGGCCCAAGTGCAGAACCGTCCACCCACTCAAACTTTCCCTCTTCGCGCTGATCGTGCAGGCCGATCCAGAACTTCCTATACTTGCTCACGGACTTGTACAGGGGGATGAGGAAGGCGTTGGTCTCGGCGTCTCGGGGCATGGCGAGGGTGCCGCCGTCTGCACGACAGGCCGCGCCCGCTTTGTCGAAGGTCTTGCGTGTGTTGAAGGCCTTGTAGCAGATTCCACTCCACTTGGTGTAACCTTCGGGACAAGATGCTGGAAAACACGTTTTGTATAAGCTACAGGCAAAGGATAGGTCATATTGAAAATCATGACATACATGTGATATATGCTTCCTTTTATTACCAATTTTAAAAATTTCACATTTAAGGTGTGTTTGAAAGGCGACATACAGCACCCCCACATAATTTATTTTCCAACTAATAACGTTTGCACATAAGCTAAGATGAAGAGCCAAAATAACAGCCAAAACAATTTACCCAAAGTCTTCGAGTTCTTGGGCAAACGTTGCTCCAAAGTGGCGGTCCGGCTGCGCTCGTTGTCCAGGTCGCGCTTCAAGGCGTCAACAGTGGTGGACAGTCGGCGCAAGGCGTCTTGGTCGCGCTTCAAGGCGTCAACAGTGGTGGACAGTCGGCGCAAGTCGTCTTGGTCACGCTTCAAGGCGTCAACAGTGGTGGACATGCCGTCTTGGTCGCGCTTCAAGGCGTCAACAGTGGTGGATATGCCGTCTTGGTCACGCTTCAAGGCGTCTTGGTCACGCTTCAAGGCGTCAACAGTGGTGGATATGCCGTCTTTGTCACGCTTCAAGGCGTCAACAGTGGTGGACATGTTGTCTTGGTCGCCCTTCAAGGCGTCAACAGTGATGGATATGCCGTCTTGGTCACGCTTCAAGGCGTCAACAGTGGTGGATATGCCGTCTTGGTCACGCTTCAAGGCGTCAACAGTGGTGGACATGCCGTCTTGGTCGCGCTTCAAGGCGTCAACAGTGGTGGATATGCCGTCTTGGTCACGCTTCAAGTCGTCTTGGTCGCGCTTCAAGGCGTCAACAGTGGTGATCAGTCGGCGCATGTCGTCTTGGCCACGTTTAATGGTGTTAACAGTAGTCGACAACTGGGATATTTCCTACAAATATGTGTACACATGTCAGAATACCTAACGTAGGAAACAAACATGAAAAACAGCAGCAAATATTTTGTACCCTCTTTGCTGACAATCAGGAAAATAGCTGGACAACATGCTTTATGGTACAATACTGTTACCTGCTTGTTGCTGAACGTCAGAGGGGCGAGTCCCACGGCGATTAGGCTCAGTAGCACGGCGATCCCGGCGGCCAAGAAGCTGCGGCGGGCCCGGAGGAAGCTACAGACACCCCGGCGGGCGCTCGCTCCACCCGGATACGAGTGGTCTGGTAGGAAAACATATTTCGCTCAGGTTATCGCTTACGTCAACTTACCAACTCAACATGTTAAAGCTGCATTATCATGTAGTTTTTTGCGCAAAAAATTCAAATATTCTGAATCTAATAAATATTGGTTTTATCATCATTTACTATCACTTTTCAACACATTTGCGTCATTATATTACGTTTCTGGCGTTTTGTTAGCACAAAAACAGTCCGCTTGATGCGCGCTCAGTTCCCGGTGGCACCGAGTTGATGCCACCGCTGGAACATAAACAAACAACGGTGTTCGGTCGGGAATCTTCGGTGAGTTCCGGCTGCGTGACGTCATGACTAGCTAGCCCTCTGAAACAAAATGGAGGGCGGTCGGGATCGGGTGAACCGCGGAGATAGAAGAAGTTTGCTGACCAGTTCCGGCAGGAAAGGGAAGGAGAAGGACAAGTTCCAAAAGCGGGTGATGTTGGCATAGCAGTAATCGAAGGAATAACACGATCAAAACAAACCCGGGAACCAAAGGCGAAAACCGGCTGTCAGAATCGAGTGTCCCGCGCCCGGGTGAAAGGTCACGTTAGATCACGTGACAAATCTCCGGGCCGGCTCGATCAGACTCGGGAGTACTCGGACATGTTCGGAAGTCAACAAACATGGCGAACACCCAGGCGCGCGCGTGCGATTTCTCAGTTTTCTAACCGCTCGCATCGCAAAAATATCGTCTCGCCTCCATGAACTGAATGGTGCAGTGTAACACCGTGAGTGTAACAGGGTGGGGTTTATTCAAAGAAATGGCCAGAAAATCGACTTTTTGTTTTAAGGTTAGACGGCCAAAAAACTACATAATGCAGCTATATATAGTACTTAAACGCTACATCAACAAAACAAAACAAAGCCAGAAGTTTTCATCCTTGCAAATCCTCCGAGATCTACAAAATATGTGTATAGTGTAGCCGTGGAGACTCTTGATTCGGGCTTACATTGCATTACCCTCAGCAAGAGTCGTGGAAAGATCCATTGGCAGAACTGCACATTTCCCGTTGGCTGCCCGATGCTCCGTTTTTGACCCGGTTTTTTGCTGTCCCGAGCTTCCCTACAATCTAACTCCACAATTGGCCGGGTTGCCGATGTTTAGATCAGCCTAAATATTCCACAGCGCGACAGAAAAGTACTAAAATAGCTAGTCGGCACAACCGGGCAGGAATGTCCGCTACCGCTGTCGGGAACGCTCGGTAGCCTTTCCGGTTATAATCGGAGAGCTTTCGGTCGGGCTTCGGTAATCGTGACGCTACCGAGCGTTCCCGAGGGCGATAGTGGACATTCCCGACTATATACAAGATGGCCGCCCGGTTGTGCCGACTAGCTATTTTAGTACTTTTCTGTCGCGCTGTGGAATATTTAGGCTGATCTAAACATCGGCAACCCGGCCAATTGTGGAGTTATATTGTAGGGAAGCTCGGGACAGCAAAAAACCGGGTCAAAAACGGAGCATCGGGCAGCCAACGGGAAATGTGCAGTTCTGCCAATGGATCTTTCCACGACTCTTGCTGAGGGTAATGCAATGTAAGCCCGAATCAAGAGTCGCCACGGCTATGTATAGTGATGCCCAGTTTCAACTAACTTACACGTTTAAAACTCACAAGAATAAAATCCCATTAATTAATTAATTAATCCATTAAAAGGTATTAGTTTTGCAAATGAAGCCCTGATTCCTACCTAACTACCCTGTTTTTCACGACTGATGTCAAAAACACAATGATTTTTTTCCAAGGACTAAAGCTCGTTGTGCATGTGGCAGGAAAAGTGTACCTTTGACGAAGCTGTGAATTCCATCGCACCGAATCATGTGCGAGAACGTTCGCGTACGCTGCTGATGAATTTTACATGAGGGGCGTAAAAAATGGAGGGTTTTCTTGTTGTCGTGAAATTTATCTTTACAATAAACTATGCAAAATCAGTAGGTTAACATATACACAGAATATTTTCTCCTGATGGTAAAAAAATAACCAGGTATGAAAATCGCCGGTTACCTGCAGACGTTGCGTGAGGTTTCACCTCCTCGGCGTCTTCGTACGTGTGTGAAGACGTGTCCTGGTCTTCCCGCTGCTTGTCAGAAGCGCCGTTGCCATGGCGGACACGCCCGCGTGAACCACTCTGAGGGACGGGACGGGGTTGGGGCGGCAACCCGCTTGTTTGGCGGCTGTCGGGGCCGGAGAAAGGCGACCGGACAGGCTCTGCCTGCTCGTACATTTCGGCCGTTCTGTGCAGACTGTATTGTTGCGCAGTGTATAACTGTGTGCAAAATTCATGAATATGGCAACTAACACCTTAATTAGTCTAGTAAGGCTGCATTTGCCCGTATTTGGAAGAATGACGTGGCATGAGGTGATGCAATAGCATTTAGTTTTTATGCAAGAGCCAGACTCATTTTCGTGGAAAAAGAAGAAATCTGGGAAGGTAGGGAGAAACATGAAAGAAATTTATTGAAACATACGAGAGAATTATTATTATAATCGGTAGACAGACAAAATAGTAGAAATCGTGTATATATATGACAGCGGCAGCAATACTTATTTTTCATCTTTAATTTTACATTCAGGATATCGCTGTCTTGTAGCCATTATATTTCTGCTATTATTTTTTTATTATTCCGAAACATGTAATCACAAGACGTGGTGACGACACACTCAAGTTTTTTCAACTTATATTAATGCCGACACCAACACAGGGACAGTACAATACTCATTTTCACCTGAGCGAAGTGAGGAAAGTCGTGTAAAGTGCCTTTCCCAAGGGCACAAGATCGGTGGCATGTCAGGACTCGAACCCGGGGCCTCTGGTTCCGAGTCGAGAACGCTGCCGCTGCGCCACAAGACCCCAGCAGTTCAGCTATTAGCTATGTGTAATGCTGAAGGACAGTTTATATGTTTACCGAAAGAAAACATATTGCTTTGCTCAGTTTCTTCCTCTTTTTCCTCTAAGAACAGTGACCTCTGACTTGACCAATAATGACATGATTTGTTGACATCTGTCACCATGGTGACTGGTGTTGGGTTACATAATGTTGCAATTTCATGGTCTGCTCTGCTTCTGTCACCATGAAATAGTAGTACATGTATATACATGTATATGAATGTGTTTGAGTAAGAATTAACAGAAAATACCATGTCCGAAGGTAAACATTATGCATTTGCTTTGCAAATGTTACTTTTCTAGTTCATATTCATGTTTTTGTGCACGTGACTGGGTTACAATGTCATTTTTAATGCTTACTATACACAGGAAATTGTTTCCATCTATTTATGTTTACCTAAGGAAAACTTATTGTTTTTGCTCTGTTTCCTCTTCCTCTTCTCCAAACCAATAAGGTCAATGACCTGAACCAGATGTCTTTCACCATCGTAACTAGTGTTGGGTTACATCATGTTGCAATTTTATAGCAGGAGGGATTTATACTCCTGTCAACATATGTATGAAATTGTGTTTGAGTAAGAATTAACAGTGCAGACCATATGCGAAGGTAAACATCATGCATTTTCTTTGCAAATGTTACATTTCTAGTTTTCAAATACAAAATCTTGTACACCGCCAGGATTGGTCCCTCGCTCGCCTGACGTCATGGCCATCCTGACGTCACTAGAGTTCTGCCACGCCCCCCACGCAGGGGAGGTTCTGCGGACGCTGCAGGAGATGCGGCGGGAGGGCCGGCTGGTGGACCTGGTGCTGACGGTGGACGGTACAGACTTCCCCTGTCACCGCGCCGTCCTGGCCTCATGCAGGTAGGACTAGGAGGCACTTTTCATGACTTACCTTTATCCATGTATTTCTCAGAGAATTATGTGATGTGGTCTTGTAGGCAGCAGTGAAGACCTTTAATGACTGTTAACCTTCGCAGAAGGAAAACACATTGTTTTTGCCCTGTTTCTTCCTCCTCTTTTCTTCTCCAAACCAATAAGGTCAATGACCTGGACCAGACGTCTGTCACCATGGTGACTAGCGTTGGGTTACATCATGTTCCAATTTTATAGCAGGGGGGATTTAGACTCCTGTCACCATACATGGATGTGTTTGAGTAAGAATTAACAGAGCAGACCATATTGTATATTGCTTTTGATACAGTATCTAGTATGCATTCTAGGTAATATTAGAATATACGACTAATAACGGCCCCATTTCTGTAATCTTCCATAGTGCCTTCTTCAGAGGAATGCTCGACAACAACAACTGTAGCTGCAGCTGTCACTCCTTGGACGGTCAGAAGAAGTTCACCCTCCAAGACGTCACCCCAGAGTCCTTGAAGCTTCTTGTAGACTACGCCTACACCTCACAAGTCACCATCACAAACGAAAACGTCATGGGCCTCTTGGAGGCCGCCATTTTGTTGAAGATCAGGCCTGTCTGTGACGCATGCGCGAAATTCCTGGGTGATAACGTCACGCCCTCGACCTGCCTGACCTTGATGAGACTGGGGTCAGAGTTCAACTACCCAGAAGTCGTGAAGAAAGCGAAGGAAGTCGCCTTGAAGAACTTTTCGACGATCCAGAATTCAAGGGAATTTCTCAATTTGTCCAGGTACATTCAGATAGATACATGTACGGAACCAGTGATAGAAATGCTTTTTTCAGTGTTCTGCAATATTGCAGAATGTCAAAATTTCGATCTGCAATTCAGAAATACCTTCTGCAAATACACACTTAAAAGTCCCATGCATATGCAAAATTGCATGTTGTAATAAATTGTACATGCAATTTGAAAAATACATGCAAAATTACTTGTATTTGTTGTACATTATAGACTCAGTAGTAAACACAAAAGCTCTTGAAAGCCATTGAACCACTAGCCTGATTTTTGTCAATCTGCAAAATTGGAGATTTTTCTTCTGAAATAAGGAAAATGTCTCTTCAAAATGCAGACTGTATTTCTAACACTATCTACTATTTGTATGGATGAATAAGGTTAAAAGATAACATGCTCATTCGTTTCCCGTTCATTTGTGGGAACTAAATGATATCAGAGTTTAAATGTTTGTAATAATGTACAAATTACGGCTCCGCCCCTGAGGTGTCGTCAAAAACGTTAGTATGGTCCACACGTTCATCATGGGAAAACAATACCTCGTGTTTTAATTAAATCAGTTTCGTGTGATATTGTATGGATATGCCTTTTTATGTTTATAAGTATAGCACTCGGGTATACATTTAAGGATTCTTTTCTTGTGTCTTGATTCTTAGGGAACAGGTCATCAAACTCATTTCCAATGACGCCCTGAACGCAAAGAATGAAGAAACAGTTTTTGAAGCCGTTATGAGATGGGCAAGTCACAACCCTGACCAGAGGTACGTATAGAACTAGCATGGTTGAGGTACTACGGGTCTGTCGCCAGGGGGCGCAGTTTCCGTCCTTGGTGCTGAAAACACAATTAAAACACGTTGTACTTTTGCATTCTTTTTGCCTGTTTTATGGTTGATTCGAAACGTTTGCCAGTGAAAAAGAAGGGGTAATATGAGCCTACAGTGATAATATTGAGCTTTTACCAGGCATGATAGTTTAAAGGCATCCAATGCAGGTTTTAGGGCATGAAAACCCGCTTTTTCAAAGCCAACAGTCTAGTCATTTATCTACATATTGAGTTGAAACTGTCCCAATGAATATTGACCCTCATGGAGCAAAATTCTGACGGTAAATGGTTACTGCAAGGGCCCTGAGCTGATTTTAGGGTACCACCCAGAAAATAAAGGACTCATCTTGGGGCTTGTTTCTGCAGTTTTAATGCTCAAAATGTGAAAAGCTGATTTAAATGTGCCAATGTGAAGCAGTATGTGTCAATATCACAAAGATTGCCGAATTCAGAATATTTACAGTTTTGCCGCCCTGAAATCGCATTGGATACCTTTAAAATGTTAAAGATATCCCATGATTTCCTTTGACCAATGGCTACCCTTCAATGATAATTGGGTTAACGTTTACGTTTTTTTCTACTTGTCTATCAAACAGGATGTCAGAGATGAGAACGCTGATGGAACACGTCAGACTGCCTTTCGTAGATGTGGACTATTTCAAAAAGTACGTTGAATCCAACGAAGACATGAAATCTTACTGCTCGGATTTGATTCTCGAGGCTAAGCAGTGTTACTTGTACCCCGGAGACACTCTAACAAGGCGCACTCGCCCGCGATATGTTTCTGGCGTACGGGAAACCATCCTAAATATCGGCGGAATTATCTCGGGAAAGCCCACGCCGGCGCTAACGTCGCTAGTACCGTCTTTGGACGAACCCTGTTGGCAGAAGTTAGCGGTAGAAATGGCGGACACTCTGGCAGAGGAGAAGTCGTTCGCCGCGGTGGCTGTCGGGATGTGTGACGTCATGATTTCTGGAGGAACCTCGTTTCCGAAAGACGTGTGGTTGTACCGGTCTGAGCACAACGCGTGGGCCCATCTACCGGAGATGAAACAAGGTAAGCAAAAACTGGAGAAGACTAGAAAGTTAACATTTGCAAAGCTAATGTATAGTGTTTACCTTCGCATTTGGTCTGCTCTGTTAATTCTTACTCAAACACATTCATTTTTATATGATGACAGGAGTCTGAATCCCTCCTGCTATAAAATTGCAACATGATGTAACCCAACACCAGTTACCATGGTGACAGACGTCTGGTTCTGGTCATTGATCTTTAGTGTTTGGAACGGAAGAAGAAGAAACAGAGCAAAAACAATATACAAAACAGCTGAGTTTAAACTAAAATTTCAATGTAATACCTTTTGAATTGAACATTTATATGTATATCTATAGGTCAAGTGCTTTTTTAAATACCGCGCAAATTCATCGTCTATTGGCATCCAAATACGAGACGTTATATAAGGCCCTTGTTCAAATCTAACGGTTTTCTCCTCCAATCAGGACGCTGGTGCCACAGTATGGCAGCCCTGCAAGGTAAAGTGTACGCCATTGGCGGGACCATGTACAAGACCTACGACACAGTGGAGCAATATGACCTATCCACGAATGAGTGGAGCTTCGCTAAACCCCTCCCAGAGCCTCGGCAGAACCACGCTTCCACCGTCTGTGAGGGGAAAGTCTACGTTATTGGCGGGAAAAACAAGTATATTTCTGCGTCGTGTGATGTTTTCTCGTACGAACCGAGCTCTAAAACTTGGGGTGTCATGGCGCCCATGCCCGAAGCAGCTAGCTCTCTGGCTGCGGCAACTATCAACTCACAAATTTACGCCACAGGGGGTTGTCTTAGAGCGTTGTTTTGCTACAACGCTACAAACGACGTTTGGCAAACTGTCGCACAACTTATGAACGATAGGTCACCAGGGTATGTGCTAGAGGATTGTGGGATAGCGGCATGCGGGAACAAGGTGTACGTGACTGGCGGGAAGACGAGAGTCGGGGAACGGGGTAAGCTGCGCGGGACGGACACAGTGTGGTGTTATGACCCAGAGGACGGTGACCTGTCGGACGTTTGGCCAATGCCGTTTAAACTTCACTCACATGGATGTGTGACAATCTGGACACACGTAGACTAGTATTCACGAGTTTCCCATCCCCAGAATGCATTGCGAAAACAGGGGTCTAAACCTCATTTGCATAGGACAGGAAGGCATCGTAATGATCCTGTTGACGTTAAACAACTTGCTTTTCAGTGTGTTTTTAGGAGTTGGGGTATTTCATGCTCAACGTTAATTAAATTACCATGGGTTGAATCTGAAAACAATTAATGAATTTTTAGGAATATGTGGTTTGTAACGTTATAGTGGTAACGCTATACTGATGCTGTAACGTTACAAACCACATGTTCCATTGAAAAGAACACAAAAACTTCATTCTCTATTTGTTGTCAGATTCGACCCATAGTAATTTAATTAATGTTGAGCATAAAATGCCCCAACACCTCAAAACACAGTGAACAGCAAGCTGTTTAACGTCAACAGGATCATTCCGATGCCTTCCTGTCCTATGCAAATGAGGTTTAGACCCCTGTTTTCGCAATGCATTCTGGGGATGGGGAACTCGTGAATTGGACACGCCACTTTAAGTAATACATTTTATTGGTCAAGAGCTGTATCACATGATAGGCCATAAGCAAAATGGCGTCACGTGGAAATGAGAACAATACATGTTTTATACACCAACAATCGTTTGTCTAAATATATGGTATAAACTGTACCTTCAAACAATAATCGTTGTTTAGCTGAGTACAGACGGAAGTCTGGTGATACTGCAGTATACTCCTAATCAAAAGGACAAGCTATATTTCTAATGTTGGGTGTAGGAAATGTACACGCTGTAAGAATACGATCGGGTACCATAGACCTGTCTCCGTCCTTGGTGCTGAATTCTTCATACAGTGCCGTTTGGTACCGTCAGGTGGCGTTTTTGACTTGTCTAACTCAGGCGAAAGTCTGGTGATACTGCAGTGCACTACTAATTAAAAGGACAAACTATCTTTCTAATGTTGGGTGTAGGAAATGTAAGAACACGCCCGGGAACTATAGACCTGTCTCCGTCCTTGATGCTGAATTCTTCGTGCAGTACCGTTTGGTACCGCTAGGTTGCGTTTTTGAATGATCTAACGGTGAAGGAATGCTTGTGCATTCTATGACGATGAAGGACTTGTAATACACGTATCATAACTGAAGCGGTCAACAACCTTTGCAATCAACAAGTTGTGTAATATTTGACGTCTGAAATTGTCCAGTTGTGTTTTATTTTATTTTCTCTTTTTGCAAAACGCGAACTGATTTATCAATTATGTAATGTCTTGTTATGGAACTTAACACGTTAACAGGCATTGTAGTAGGGTGGCTTTTATTTGCTGTTCATTACCTCCTCACGGAGGTTATATTTTCAGCTGGGTTCGTCTGTCATTCTGTCTGTTCGTCAACAAGATAACTCAAGAACGGCTGGATGCATTGGTTTCATACTTGGTGTGTTGGTAGAGTGTGATCAAAACTGAAAATGATGAGCTTTTGGGTCTCCTAGAGACTACCCTTGGTACTGCATCGGAACTTCCGTTAGCTTGCATATAGCCAACAATATCTTACCTTGTCCATGCCTAATGATTACGATTTCACTACTGTGTTGCATGTTACTAGGTAGGGGCCATGTGAATACTTTGCATAAAAGTTTTGCTAATGAGGAGGATTGTAGATGTAAGCCATTTACGGGTCGTCATCACCATGCATAAGATGTAATTTTTCTTGTAAACAAAAAAAATCTGTTAAAAAACAGGCATAAGATTTACAAAAGCATACACTAAACATTTCATGGAGGTATGAGATCGCGAAACTCTACTTCATTATTCATTCAGTCAGTAATTTTCCCATTCACTCACTCACTCATTCATTCATTCATCCACTCGTCTTGCTCATTCCCTCTGTTAACGCTCATCCAAGTATTAATGTAAGATGATGACAACAATGACTTGGCTCCAAGATACTTTATTGCACAAAAGCATACCTTTGACAAGAATGAGTTTCAAGATAATGCAAGTGTCCTCAAGAAATATTTCACAAAACTTCTGTATGTATACACGTGCACCTAACATGCTTTAATAACAACGATTCTTTTCTTAATTAAGTATTCACAACTAAACTGCTAATTTTTTGTGCCCCGTTTTGCACAACGTTCATGATTGTACTAAAAACTCACTGAAACATATTCGTCAACCTGTTTAGAGTTAAAACTTTAGATCCAACACAAAAAGTTCTCTCCCCTAGAGCTTTCGACCAGTCACTCTGGTCTTCCTCAGTAGACTGACCCAGTGAAGCTTGTCACGTGGCTTCTCTGAAGTG